GCTTGCAGCTTTGCAGCCGGGTGCCCACTGCACATGCGCAAGAAGCACTGTGCTTTGTGAATGGCCCTATAGTCTTCAGGTACCTGTCACATGTCCCAGAAGACTACAGGGAGGGGGGGACAACTTCCGCTTCTGATTGCCTAGTTGATCGCAGTGGGAGTGGGTAACTGTCAAATTTGAATACCCCCTCCCCCCCCCATCACCAAAGGTGCACAGCATTAAAGCAGAAATTCCCCTTTTGGGTGGAGCTCTACTTTAACTGCCTTCTCACCTTATCAGGCCCAGGGGGTGGAAGGTTACTCACCCTGTCCTTCCTGATAGCTCAATGGGTAGGTGGCTGCCTTCAGGCCTTTCACTGGGCTGGCTTCTTCCCTGCTGATCAGGTTATCCTTCCTAGAAGACGATGGCACAGTGTAGACTTCCTTGTCCAGCACCAGCCCATAGGTAGGCCCATCCTAGGCTCCATACTCCAGCCTTCACTCCATCTTCCACCCTACACTACTCCTCCTGCTGATCAGGATCTCTCACACTTCAAGGGCTGTGCTGGCCCCATGCCAAGCCTCCTGCTTGGGGATTGGCCAGGATCTCTTAAGTATGTAGATCAGCCCCTCCTCATTCCTACCTACTGGCTTCTAGAAACTTCTGAAGCTTCCAGAGCAGGGGGAGGTATCAGGAAACTGACCTGCAGAGTAACCTGGGTGACTCATCCCAGGCTGACTCATCCCAGGCTGCTATTCAACCTCTGTCTCAAAATGTATTAGTCACATTGTGCAACATTTTAAAAGAATCACACATGATGTTCAGTTCAGTGTTTCTTTTTAGATGAATTGCAAAGACCATTTATACTATATTATTTTTTTTTTTTTAATATATTGAGTGTCCCCATAGGTAGCAGCACTTGGGAGGAGTTAGTGCCCATATAAATTCCAGGATTAGTGGGGCCTTGTGAGTTGGCACATGGGAGCCAAACACCCCAGAGTTCTCCAGATGCAGTAGTCCACTGTCCATGGGCCCTTAACAGGGCTGCCACCCCAGGTATTTCAGCACCCAGAAGGACCAGCTGTAGTTGTCCTGACTCTTTTACAGTTGTCTGCGGACTCTGAGCAGGATGCAAAAGGCTTTTCAGAGTCCTCTGAAGTGAGTACTACTACATATGGGAGTAAGTGTGCCACCTGGGAGCATGTCCGGTTGGGAAGAGCTATGGAGGGGACATTGAGTGTGATTGGTATACTTATGAGGACACTTTGATTTTACTTGGTGATGGAAGCTGCATGCTGCAGACTTAGTATACGTGGGGGAAGTGGCCCCAATGCTGTGGTGCTCCCAAGGAGAAGAAGTATAAGGGAAGGTGGCTTACAAATCATGTACTGGAATTCTGTGCCTAAATGACAACTACAGAATGTCTGACCTCTGTATGGCACTCCGCACCAAACAATTCTGTCAGTAAGTCTATGTGATGTTAGATGGCACAGACATTTCTGAAAAGTTACAGTAAAGTACAGAAAATGGATTTCATGTGTGGACATTCCTTTATTCTTCAATACTAAGGCCTATGACTAGAGATGTCACGAGCAAGCCTATGGCCAGGAGTTTGGCACAATATGGTGAAGGATTTCACCTACCAAAGGTGGGTAACTGTCTTATCCAAGAAGAAGCTGGACAGGGACTTGTGTGTTTCCCAGGTCCCTTAGAAGGGTTTTATTCACAGTGGGAGAAATGGCACTGGGTGAGACATTCTGAAAAGTTACAGTAAAGCTACAGAAATGGATTTCATGTGTGGACATGCTTATATTACTTCAATAGCTTAAGGCCTATGGACTAGGGGGTGTCATAGGAGCCAGCCTATGGCCAGGGAGGAGTTTTGAGCACAATATTGGTGAAAGGGTTTGTTCACTCTACCAAAGTGGGTGGGTAACAGTCTTATTCCAAGAAGAAGCCACAGGATAAAAATTAGACTCAACTCATCATAAATAGCTAATACCAGAACACTCCTATTAGAAGAGTTTTACAATTATTACTGACAGTGGAAGTTAACCGCTTCCTGACTGCCCTATAGCAGAAGTACTGCTACAGGGCGGCAGGAATGTGAATGTGATTTTGTATTTCTGGGTAGGGGGCGTGCGTCTACTCTCCCTACCTGTGCCACTATTGACTCCTTGGCATGTCAATCACCAGGTCCTGGCCGCCTATTTTTGGACTTGGTGATTGTCGGCAGAGCTGACAGGGGAGAAGTCTGTAAAACAATACAGATCTCTCCCCAGTCAGTATGACTAGGCTGCTTTGTATTGCTCTGCGCAGCTTGTGTACATAGTAAAACACACACAACACACAGTTAACCCTTTGATCTCCACAGATGTTAACCCCTTATTGCCCAGTGTCATTAGTACAGTGTCAGTGCTTTAATAGCACTGATCACTGTATTAGTGTCATTGGGATGTCAGTGGCAGTTAGTCAGTTCCCCCCTCCAGTTTCAGAATGCCCACAGTCCTGCAATAAGTCACTGATCGCCGCCACTACTAGTAAAAAATAAATTAAATTAAAATTTCCAGTATATATACCGCCATTTGTCGATGCTATAACTTTCACATAAACCGATTTAGATTAGAATTAAATTGTTAGCGCAAAAAATGAAAAAAAAAAATCACACAGGTGATCAAACACCACCAAAAAAAAGCTCTATTTGTGGGGAAAAAAGGACATAAATTTAATTTATGTACAGTGTTGCATGACTGCGCAATTGTCAGTTAAAGTAACACAGCGCCATATCGCAAAAAATGGCCTGGTCAGGAAGGGGGGTAAATCCTCTGGAGGGTAAGTGGTTAAAGAAGAATTCTAGGCAAAAAGCTAAAAAAATTAATTTTTCATATTCCAAATCTTCAGATTCAAAACCCAAACTCTACCAGTCAAACCAACAATAAAAACCATTCTGCCTCCGAGGTGCTTCTCTTCATAATCACATAGTTAGGTTGCACAGCAGTGGGCCGCAGATTGGACACCCCTATCCTATGCTATTCTGGGCAGTGCTGTTCCACTTCTATCCACCAGTGCTAGAGAGATTCTGATGCATAACCTGATGGATTGTGGGAAATCACATGTTGCACATAGGGCAGCTCTTTCACTTGAACGGGCTGCCCTATGCGCGTTTGTCACCCAAGAGAAGCTCCTCCTCCTTTTTTGATTGACAGGCTTAGTGCAATTTTTAAACGCACATTTTGCTGCAATTGCCACAATATGCATACATTTTGTCACAATTTGGAATGTTGGGCAGAATCGCAGCAATTCTGAACAGGATTCCAAATCTCCTAATGTGAACAGGGCCTGATCGCTGCTACACAAGTCAATTGGTCAGCCATTCTCCTATCAGCATTGGATACTGTTTATTGCGGTTATTCTTTATCTGATGTATTTCTGTGGTATAACAGGTACTACAGGCTGATGCTTTCTAACTGTTAGGCTGGGTTCAAACTGATGTGGTGCGGAATTCGCAGCGTTTACTGTGTGAATTCCGTACCGCATCAGAATCGCACCCCGTTCACACGAACTGAAAGCCTATGAAAAAGGTACCAGGAGTGTAACGGAGGTAAGCGGGACAGAACACACAAGGCAGACGGCAAACACTTAAAGCTTTATTAAAACAGACAACAGTCAATCAATGGGGAATAGTGCAGGGAGAGAGAGTCCAAAATACTTGTAATCCAGCCCCGGGGGGCAAAGTTAAAGGATCTACAGCAATTTGTAATCCAAGAGGCAGTTCATAAGCAGTCAGATAGCACAAGGGAAGCATGCACTCATGCAAAGCTGATGCGATAGTCCCAGGCAGAGCTGACAGCATTCCAGGCAGGGCTAACGTAGCTTCTGGGATCCCCCTTCCTCCAATGGGGCTCAGGCAGAGCCGGGGGCCACTAGAGTCCAGCTGGACCCCTCAGTGGTTGCCCAGCAGAATGGCACAACAAGAGAGACCAGCACTGACCTCTTAAACCCCCTGAGCAGGAAGAGAGGCGGAGGGGGGTCATTAGCAGGTGACAATGAAGAGAATGGAACTACAGTAATTTAATTTGTGGCTGTACACAGAAAGGACTGGTTGGGCAGGATAATTAGTGGGGGAAATACATTAATACAAAAGTAAGGCACGAATTAGGGATGTATACACTAATTGAATTTTGGACCTTTTGGTTTAGGGGCGAGTTAATTACAGCTAGGGGTCTTTGGCACACAGGAGTGAATACTAATTGGAGGAAGCTCTTCCTATGGCCAGAAGGGATTAGGAACAAGGAATTAATACCTGGGACTGGCAGAGACCCATATCGTGACAAGGGGCATCTCATGGGGCCCCCTACTGACCCCGGCCCTCGGCAGTGCCCGAGTTTCCAAATGGTCAGTCAGCCCCTGCACAAAACATGGTGCGATGTGCAGAATCGGATTGCGTAGGTGTGAATACCCATGCGATCCCATTCTGGTGCGGACCCAAAAAAGAGTCCTGCACCTTTTTGGTGTGCAAATAACATGCGATGTACTGCACCGCATTTGTGTGAACCTAGCCTTAATCAGCTTAGAGTACTAGATTTTCAACTGGTTGATTCATCTTTGCACAGATCCTCACCCTTAACCCGTAGCAATACACTCTACTTGCAGTCAACCAATTTGGTGTAAATTTCTGGTGCCTTTGCATAATTGGGTTTGGGGATGCTCATAACAGGCCATACCTGGATGGAAATTCAGCAGGTTAAGTGGGGACCTGTTGGAAAATGTCCACAAAATAGTGTATTCCAATGGGGGAAGTCACTCTGCCAGCCCCTCCCACCAGCCATGATCTGCCTGACTTGCACAAAGAGGAACAGAAACCCAGTGATGATGTAATTGGACACAAAATATGGTATTTCATGAAAACAGTTTTTATTTAAAAATCTAATTACCATGTTGATGACATGCGGGGGGGGGGAGTAATGAGAAAGCAGAGATGGAAGATACAACCATAAAAGCTTCAGCTTTAAACCATAAATTAATAATGAGCATGGAGGTGCTCGGCTGTCCTCTGGAGAATCTCCTTCTCGTTGGCGTAAAAGAGGAATCTTTTGCTCCAGGAGTTGCCACCGCAGTGTTATGTTTTTATCTGATTTTTTAAGGTTCTGAAAGGACAAAAGACTGAAATATAAAGACTGAACAGGTGGAAGTGTAATGCCTCTGATCCAGAGTCCTGATGGAGATGTGCAGCCTATAGAGATAAAAATGAGTGTGACACCACCCCCGAAGGGTCCTTCTGTTCCTGGTGCTGGTGACTCTCTAAATAATACCATACTTTCCAACTCACCTTGAGGCTAAGAAAAGAGTTATTTTTGGGGGTTACACCAACCAGCAGGGTAAAACACAGCAGTATCAATAAACAACAACCTGTACCAGTAACAGTGTGCAAGCAATATAACCAGTGGTGTATTTAGGTTTTCTGCTGACCTAGGCAACACAAAAATCATCTGCCCCCACAGACACAACCATTATCCCCCCCTTCCCCTCCCACAGAGAGAGCCTGACACTGACTGGGAGTACCTTCCACTAACCCCGCCTGGAAATAGAAAGACACCCACCTTCACAGCTCTGGACATCACCGGGAACGAGAGTCAGGCTCTACATACACCATCAAGCGGCCCGCAGCCTCTCTCAGATCCCACCTGGTTCCCATGATGCACGTGACCCTTCTTCCATCCCTTCTTCTGGGGGGATGTGCTGCCCCCCTGAAAAATGCTGCCCTAGGCAAGTGCCTTGTTTGCCTTGTGGTAAAAACGCCCCTGAATATAGCAACAGATTTAGGAACAAAGCACACCCGACAACATGGATTAGAGATCAGGCCTCTAGATCTTTGTCCTAAGAAAGTGCCCCAACTACTGGAAGAAACACAGGGACCTGTCAAAGGTACAGTCCCCCCTAACCCACAGGCCAGTAGTCAATCACCTAAAGACTGTAAATTTTCTCTCCCTTCCTGCCCAGGTCATTTTTCAGATTTCAGTGCTGCTATGCTTTGAAATTACAAATTACAAATATTAATCACAAATTACATTTTTGTCATTGTTTTGAATCAGACAGAGCTTAATTTACTTTCATGGTATTTGATCACCATTGGATTTTTATTTTTTGGTTTACATTAAAAAAAAAAAAAAAAAGAGAAACATTTTGAAAACAGTTTTTCTTAGTTTCAGATATAAAGTATTGCAAATGAATAATTTGTCTTCATAAATTTTGGCCAAAATGTATTCTGCTACATTTCTTTGATAAAAAATAACCCAAATCAGTGTATATTATTTAGTCGGTGTGAACGTTATAGAGTCTACAAAGTAGTATATTTGAAAGTGGATCAATCCTGATGTACCAACGGCCTGTCTCACAGCCCTAAAATGTCAGGACAGCACAAATAACCCAAAATGACCCCTTTTTTGGAAAGTAGACAGTACAAGGTATTTAGTAGGAGACATTAAAACTGAACACATAATAACTACACAGGCTCTGTGGCTGATTGAGGTGGTAATTAAACTTACTTGGTGCCTTATCTGCATTAACCTCCCTAGCAGTCTGATTATGTCAGTATTTCTGTGCTCAAAAGGTACATTTTTTTTGCATGGAAATATGTTGTTTTTGTTTATTGTAGGCCTGTAATTCTTAGGAATAACTCACTGAAATCTGTCCGAACAAGAGTCTAGTAATCATCCCGGGTATGATAAAATTTGAAACACAAAATCATAAATTACAATATAATAAATAATCATAAAAAAATAATAATATAATAATAATAACTTTAATTCAATAATATAATCAAACCAAAAACACTGAAATTTGAAATATAGCGCCAAGTTGGCACGTCACTGATCAAAGTCGCAGAATCGTTTTCAGTGTCTGATGACAAATTTCCCCACCAATCATTATCACTCAATTCTGCAAGTGGTTCTGATTTACTATCGCTGTTCTCTAGCCGTCTAAAACCGCTTTTGACCTAAAGGGACGCTTTTTGGACGCCATGGACATTTCTCAGTTTCCAGGCAGAAAGAACAGTAAAAATGCAGGAAGGGCGCAGGACAAAGCACTCGGGACAAAATGTATGTGAAATGGTTTGATACAGGAATGTTATACTATGTGATTTTAGTGTATTTAGTGAATGTCACTTTTAACATTTTTCCGAATTTTCCGCCGGTTCCGTCCCCCGTATGTCCCGACGACGCAGGGAATGGAACTCGGAAGACAGATGCCGGCATTGGCCGGAGGAGATGGCCCGGGACACTGCAGGGGGACATCGCGGGGGCGAAGGACAAGGTAAGTGCTGGAGGGATCCCAGAGCAATGCTGCAGTGTATTCCCGAGTGTAACTTGGGGGGGGGGGGTTACCGATTTTGGTACTGAATGTTAACCCCGAGCTACACTCAGAAATACCGCCAGGGGGGTTAAATTACTCTCAGAACCTGTGTAATTAATATGTGTTCGGTTTTAAAGGGATGAGGTGACAACCCTAACTAGGGAACATAGAGGGAAAGTTAGCAGAAGCAGAGGAAGATGGTTGCCATGGGTAACAGAACTGTAGGGGGATCCTTAAAATCAGGGTTAGTGTGGTAATGATGCAGGGTACTGGTATACAGGAGGGAAGGAACACTCACTAGCAGCTATAGTTGAGGAAGGAGGAAGGGATTCTTGGTGTATAGAGGCAGATCTGAATTTGGTGTGAATAAACTGAAACTGGGAATAATATCTCTGACCAGACTTGGAGCAGAGGCTGAACAAAGTTTGGTTCATATCTCCCTTGTCTGAGTAGAAAGAGCACATCAGTAATACAATCTAACATCACCTGCTGGGAGCAAGCTGAGTACTATTCAAAGAAGTAAGTTGTGTCATCTTCCAACAACCACACCAAAGACTCAACCTCTGGCACACTAAAGGAAGGAGTGAAAACATCATGGCCAGGGGTGGACTGACAACTCATGGTGCCCCCGGGCAATAGGGGATCATGGGGCCCCTGTGTCCTTGCCCACACTCAAACAACACCCAAAAAAGCCTATGAAAGGTACCAGGGGCATCTCATGGGGTCCCCTACTGACCCCGGGCCCTCAGGCAGTGCCCGAGTTCCCAAATGGTCAGTCCGCCCCAGGGGCGGACTGACAACTCATGGGGCCCCGGGCAATAGGGGATCATGGGGCCCCTGTGTCCTTGCCCAAACTCAAAAAAGCCTATGAAAAAGGTACCAGGGGCATCTCATGGGGCCCCCTACTGACCCCGGGCCCTCGGGCAGTGCCCTAGTTTCCAAATGGTCAGTCCACCCCTGGTCCGCCCTTGATCATGGCCATTAGATGTTAACATATCTGAACCAAAGGCTATACTCCAAATGAACATCTGCCCTGATCAACTAAGATATGTGCTACCAAAATGCAATCCAGCAAAATTAGGCAGCAAAGGTCTTTATTCCCTAATGCCAATTCCACACAACCGATAGCCTTCCCTAGAAGCATCTCAACATAAAGGACAGCAAATACTCAGAGCAAATACTTTCCAGTTCCCAAGTTGATCTGGTCATTAGTGGGTGTCAGTGTTATGTCAGCAGCAAGGATGGCCAAATCTGTAGCTACACTCAGGAAACTAGGACCAAACTATATACAGAAAAGTAAAGGTATTAATAGCAAAACAAAACACATGCAAACACCAACAAAACAGAAAACATCAAGATATAAGTGAACCATAAAGCAAGTGACAAAATGCTTAACTAGCAACCTAACAGAGTAACTAAAGCCTAACAAACTACCTATATACAATATGTACAAAACGAGGAGCACTGGTAACCAGAGTAAACTGGAGAGGCAGGGAACAGATGGGAAGGGGGAACCAAGATTGGGATCAGGAACACAGAGAGCAGCAAGGCCTAGGATACAGGGCAGGAGCGAGATCAGGAGCAGACACAGCAGGGTACAGGTACAAGGCAGGATCAGGAAAGAATTGGACTCAGAATTAAACAGCAGGCATGTATCTGGCTGACAGTCAATGCAAGAGCAAAAAACTGACACAAAGTGTAATAGCAGAGGAGGACTTAAATACCCTCCCAGCAGCCAGCACCAGGTAGCACATGGTTACGGATGTAGCACTACCCTCTTAAAAGTTGCTGGATAATTTTTGTGCTCCCTTTAGCTCTGGAACCCTGTCTGAAAGCCCAACCTCTTCTGACACCACAGTACACTCTTAGGGCTCATGTACACTGCAGCTCCTAAACTGCCGTTTAGGAGGTGTTCAGCATTTTTTTCAGCAGCCCCTGAACTCTCCTTAATGTTTTCCTATATTTCCATGTACACATCGTCATTTACAGGCAGTTGAGTTTACAGTGTTTTTTTTTTGCATGCACAAAGCTTGCATTCAGGAGTAGATTTTACCAGCGTTTCAAACGCCAAACACTTGTAAAAGTGTGTAAACGCGCTTAACCGCGTTTATAAGCATTTGCGTTTAAAATAGTTTTTTAATTTTTCCATGTCCAGATGCTGTCCAGAGCCTTTTTTCATCATCAGAAATGCATGCAAAGCGTTTTCCATGTATTCAAATGGACCCGGTACACCAGCGCAGGCAGTTCCAGATTTCGTGTGAAGGAAAAAAATGCGGCATGCATTATGCTCATGATGGGATCCATAGTGAATACAACCAGAAAAGACCGGTCATCTCAACACATACTGCTCTCTCTGCTTCTGCTCTCTCTATTTCTCTCAAAATGTCTGAAATAGTTAATTATTTACTGTTTTTCAGTGCATTCTGGGCATTTGGGAAGGTCTTCTGAGGTTATCTTTTAAAAATGCTTCTAAACGAAGCGCGCATGAACGCACATAAACGCGGTATGCAAACCAGCTTCTGACTTTTTCCTATCTATTTTTTCTGCTGCCCCCACTCTCCAGCCCCCTAAGCTCTTTCCCAGTGGATGCGATCTGTCAGTGGAGAGCGGGAAAGAGGCCAGTAAATGTGTCATTTACTTCCTGCCTTTTTCGAATGGACAGAGTCAGTGATCGATGCCAGTCACTGACCCTGCCCATTCAAACTGAAACATAGTAAACTGTGTTTACTATGTTTCAGTTTGTGAATAAACAGGAAGCTCTGTACACAGCTATTCCTAGGCTGAGGCTGCAGAGATAGATATTGAGTGCTGTGTCCTTAATTTTTGTCTCAAACCTTTCTCTGTCTCAAAGGTGGAACGTCAGAGATCTGCGTAGGCCCCTGATATCTGAACAAAGCCCCCCAACGGGGCTCTTAAAAAAAATTGTAAAAATATAAAAAAAAAAAAAAGTGTCAAAAATATATAAATAAAATAACAAAGATAAAAAAAAAAAAACTATTGACACCAGTGGCTGCATTTCCAGGGTCACAAAGTTGCACTTGCGACCGGGCCCTGGTGTTCTGCCACTGGGCTTGGAAAGTAGGGCCTGGCCAGAGGTCAGGGGGGCCCTTCATGGTTTATTGCACCTGGGCCCTGAAGGTTCTAGTTAAGACACTGGTCAGAAGAAATGTGGAAATAATAAAACAAAACTTTCTTGAACCTGCAAGAGTTTGTCCAAATTCTCCTTTGTGTCCAGGTGGATGTTGACAGCAAGAGTCTCTATCCAGGCATTGTCTGTATTTCGAGGATCATCCAGGTACCCGCGGAAGACCTATCAAAGAAGATAGATATGTTGTTGGGTCCTAATGCTGTTAACCTGATTTGGTGCACCAAAATGTAATCAGCAAACTACCAACCTTTGTCCCAGAGTCCAGCAATGCCAGAAATTCACTCAGGTCTGTATGCTCTAGCAGTTTCTTGAACCTAATGGGAACCTTCTGTCCAGGATCCAGCATGCCCTGAAAAAATATTCCCAGAATGCAGAAAAAAGATATTACCCTGAATGCTCTGCAGTGGAATGGTTAGCATTTACAGGAAAGGTGGACTGCAGCATAGTACATACACTTAAGCAGACCTAGCATTTACACCATACAAAGACATTTTAGACAATTGTGTGCTTACAACAGTTTGCAGAAGGCCCTTTTCTGACTGTGATATCATGACTTGGCACCTTTGCATAAAGTGAGTTCCATGAATACATGATTTGACCAGCGGCAAGGAAGAACTCAAATGGCCTCAACAGAGCTCTGACCCGAACTAGAATGGAATGGGTCTTCTCATCCTCCTCTTTTGGCTGAATGGACACAAATTCCCACAGACACAATTCAAAATCTTGTGGATATTTTGCCACAAAGAATGGAAGCTATTAAAGCCGCAAATGCAGGGGGATTGGGCAACACGGTATTTCTGCCCATGTTTTTAGAAGAGAATTTCCCACAAGCTAATATAGGTGTGATGGTCAGGTGTTCACAAACTTTTGGCTATACAGTCTAATTAATTTGATTATATTTAAAACTAAAACATTTTTTTCAAAATGTAAATTCCGAGGGTGTTTGTATTCTCCTCATGCTTGTCCTCTGGCAGCCACCATGGTAAGCCACATCACCATCCTGCTTTCATAGGTCAGAGTATTTTTGCTGGCAATGAAGTGCTGTGGCAGTCTTACACATACACACAGAGTGACAGCTATCACCGTTTGATCAGTCTTGTGATATTTGACCAGGGGTGGACTGACCATTTGGGAACTTGGGCACTGGGGGCCCCAGGAGATGCCCCTGGTACCTTTCATAGGCTTTTTTGGGTGTGGTTTAAGTGTGGGCGAGGACACAGGGGCCCCTTGATCCCCTATTGCCCGGGGGCCCCATGAGGTGTCAGTCCGCCCCTGTATATGACCTATGATGTGGGGGTATGTCCAGGGGTGTATTTATCACAAGGCAAACAAGGCATTTGCCTAGGGCGGCATTCTTCTGATAAAGGGACAGAAGAAGGGACATATGCGGCATAGAGACCAGGTGGGATCTGAGAGAGGCTGTGGGCTGCTTGATGGTGAATGCAGAGCCTGAATCTCATTCCCAGGGATGTCCAGAGCTGTGAAGGTGAATCTCTCTCTTGCCAGGGGCAGAGATGTGTGTTAGTGGAAGGCTCCCTTGGGTGTGGGGGGACAGGGGTGTTGTTGGTCAACGTCAGGCTATCTTCGCAGGAAGGGGGGGGGTTCCATTTTTTTGTTGCCTAGGGCAGCACAAAATCTAAATACACCACTGAGTATGCCACATATTCAAAGAGGTTCATCAACCCTATTGCTTTTCAAAGTGACATGAGCTTCTGATTTATTGAATGAGAAAGTTTTACAATTCCATCTGTTTCATCTGCAGCATAGAATTTATGTGGCAGTTTGTTTTACCCAGGAAGCATTTGGATGCTGTGATGGACTGCCTAACACCCTGACTGGGTATCTCCACCAAATTACAGCTTCATCCACTCTGGAACTCAAATATAGAAATTTTACCCCAAGCATCAGACAGAACCAATGTTGGAGTAAAACAGGATTGACTTTATTAACAAACAGCACAGCATTTATACACAAAACCTTCCCCCTAGACAGGTATGGCACACATTACAAATCCCAGGAGAGAATTACATAACATAAACAAATAAACAATCAAACACAAGAAAACAATGGATTCCTTCCTGGCACCTAGTAGTTTGGACTCTGGAGGTGATTAAACAAAATAAGAGTTTATCACCAAAACCTACTTACAGCAAACAATAGTTGATGCCAGGAAACCTTTAGCAGAAAATCATGTTTCTTAACCCTACATGTGATGGAATTCACCCCCTGCCCAGACAAGACATTGCTGAAGAATAATAGTTCCACTAGCAGCTCACAGAATCTGTCCCTACAGCCCTAATTGCAATGAAAGTGTAGCTGGTATAATTCATGGCCAGCCAGGTACCCAGAGAAGTGATATAACTCTCTTGGGAAAAGGTTCTTTGTAACTCCAAGAAGGGGGTCTCCCTAGTCCTGGGTTCATAGTGGGTGGAAGGAGGCTGGCCCCCAGGCCACTTCAGGAGCCCAATTCACGGTGGTTTCCGTGACAGGTGAAAAAATTACATAAAACGGTACATAATCCAGAGTACATGCCCTCTAACATCAGTCATCCAGGAGGTTCAGCCATAATTCCCCAGAATGACATGTAATACTCGGTGTAAACGCGAGTGCTCAAACACCAACCTAACACCAAACAGCCCAGGTATACATTGGTATACATTTTCCCTCCATCATTACTATCATTTTTTCCCTTACCCCCGGTAATGACCAAAGCTCGTTTCCTTTCCACCTCACTACCAGAACTTCCAGAATATTCTTGGATGCTGTCTGGTTGGGGCCGCTGGCTGAGCCGGTGCTCCACCTAGCAATGCAGTCAAAAGATGAATCAGTAAAATGCAGCCACATTGCGAAATGATTGCCAAAAACAAGCATGAAAGATACTCTAAAAAGATGCAGTGTACCCTAGCAGCCACTAACTTGACATCTGTTTTGGGACCTCTTACTTACAGCCTGCACAGAGATATGTATTCTGTACAGAGATACTGCATATTGTCCTTTGTACTGTGCTTACTTTGTGCTCTGTCCTGACAATTTTCTGCTGCCTTGCTGTGTCCTTTATACCATCTGATCCATCATCTCCACAGGCCTACTCTGTTCTCTGTGCTGTCCAACTTTATCCTCTATGCTGTCCTGCTCTGTCCTCTGTACTGTCTAATCTGCCTTCTGGGCTGTTCTGCTCTGTCATTTGTACTGTGTACTCTGCCTTCTTTGTTGTCCTGCTCTATCCTGTCTACTGCGCTGCTCTGTCCTCTGTACTGTCTACCCAGCCCTATGTGCTGTCCTGTTATGTCCTCTATGCTATTCTGCTGTGTCCTCTGTCCTGTTCTGCTGTGTCCTTTGTACTGTCCTGCCTTGCTATCCTGCTGTGTCCTCTGTACTGTCTACCCAGCCCTCTGTGCTGTCCTGCTGTGTCCTCTGTACTGTCTACCCAGCCCTCTGTGCTGTCGCTGTGTCCTCTGTACTGTCTACTCTGTCTTCTGTGCTGTCCTGTTATGTCCTCTGTCCTGTCCTGCTGTGTCCTCTGTCCTGCTGTGTCCTTTGTACTGTCCTGTCTTGCCATCCTGCTGTGTCCTCTGTACTGTCTACTCTGTCTTCTGTGCTGTCCTGTTATGTCCTCTGTGCTATCCTGCTGTGTCCTCTGTCCTGCTGTGTCCTTTGTACTGTCCTGCCTTGCTATCCTGCTGTGTCCTCTGTACTGTCTACCCAGCCCTCTGGCTGTCCTGCTGTGTCCTCTGTACAGTCTACTCTGTCTTCTGTGCTGTCCTGTAGTGTCCTCTGTGTTGCCCTGTTGTGTCCTCTGTCCTGCTGTGTCCTTTGTACTGTCCTGCTGTGCTATCCTGCTGTGTCCTCTGTACTGTCTACCCAGCCCTCTGTGCTGTCCTGCTGTGTCCTCTGTACTGTCTACTCTGTGTTCTGTGCTGTCCTGTAGTGTCCTCTGTGTTGCCTCCTCTGTGTTGCCCTGCTATGTCCTCTGTACTGTCCTGCTGTGTCCTCTGTGTTGCCCTGCTGTGTCCTCTGTGTTGCCCTGCTGTGTCCTCTGTGTTGCCCTGCTGTGTCCTCTGTACTGTCCTGCTGTGTCCTCTGTGTTGCCCTACTGTGTCCTCTGTACTGTCTCCTCTGTCTTTTATGCTCTTCTGCTGTGTCCTCTTTACTATCTACTCTTCCTTTTGTGCTGTGCTACTCAGCCCTCAGTGCTGTTCTGCTTTGTCCTCAATACTGTCTACTTTGCCTTCTGTGCTTTCCTGCTCTGCTACCTGTGCTAACCTGCTGTGCCCCTTGTACTGATAATAATGTAGCAGGCTCCTTGTACAAGAGGATTCAGAAGGAATCACACGTTCAGCAGTCAGTCCTTCCTCTCTCTCCCCCCTATTTGTAAAACCTGGGCATTCTGCCAAGTTCATGACTCATCCACTACACAGCAAAGAACGCTGGGAAGGGGAGGAAGCAGGAAGTGAAGGGGAGAACGGAGACACACGAGGCTGGAGAAAAGACAGGGACATGTGGAGCCCGTCCAAGCAGAGGAGGAGGCACTACAGCACTCAGCGCGGATAGAGGGACCCTGCTGTGTGTTCAGAGTCTGGTGAGCTGTCCCCCTGGAGAGAGTAAGACACACCATTTACACTTTGCATATAGACTGGGACATCCGCACCCCACTGCTGGGATCTCACCCATCCGGGGCCCTGTACAAGCCACAGATCCCCCTGCATGCTTTGCCCCTCACCACCAGTGTAATTGAGACTGTCTGCCCTGGGGACTGACACATACTGGGAGATTGCATCCTGCGACTGCCCCTGGTCTTGGGGTGCTTTGTGTTGCGTTTAGACACTGAGGTTGGACCCTCTCAGCCCAGAAAACTAGTGAAATTGGATGTAACCCACACCAGCTGAAACTCCAAAGAAGCCTTCAGCTGCTATTTACTTCATTGTAAGGCCTAAACGTGCACCAACTAGAGCTCCACCGTTACAAGGACTGAAGTGGGGGAATCTGGCTTAGTAGCCTTATTAGAGGTACCTCTTTATTGCATTCTGTTCTGACTCTGAGGTGATTTTTGGCTAACGCCCCTCAGAAGCAGAATCATACACCGGTGTGGGTAATACATTTCATTGATAGAGTATAAGTAAGTTTATTTGTTTGATATCAGTTGTATTCTGCTTAAAGTGCGACTCTGCCATCCGGAGACTCTTGGCTGTGAAGCCCTCTAGTGGCAGACCAAATTTACTGCATTGCATAAAAGAAGAAAAGTAAGTTTTGAAGTTGAAAGGGGAACCCCACCCCTCTACACTGCATTTCATTCTCCATAAAATTGTTCTTGTTTCATTTAACCCTGTGTCAGCAAATTTCTTGGCGGGGTATTTGCTATTCATTACCAGTTGTGCCAGAGGGATTGGGTTTGTTTAGGGTTGGATCTACTGAGCGCAGGACCCATAATATATTCCAAGGGGCAGTGCTACAATAATAACAAAGGTGCAGCGCTAAAACCTCCATAAATAATGTATGATAATATAAAGTGCAAAAGCTTATAACCTGGGAAATTGCTCTGTCATACAAGGTATGTCAAAAAAATATATAACAGTAATGCACATATATTCCCAATTTCAGGAGAAATACATAAATAAATAAATGAAGTGACATTAGTGCAAACGTACATCCACAATAGTGACTGTTGGTGCTAAAGTGACAAAGTCTATATAGCAAATTCATAGGAAGTGAAGCTTCAAAGCAAGTGATCCACTGTGTGTCTTTCCCTGTAATAAATGTGTGATTTGTCTCTAATAAAAAAACTAGAAAAAGGAGAACAGAGACTTTCAGTTCCACGTCAACAGGTAGAACATATACCATTGACAACTTCATCACATGCAATAGTAAACACGTAGCGTGTTATTTAAATCAGCACACATAAATATAAAAAATCCTCAAAAATCCCTTAAAGTCATATCAATATCCTTCCCCTGAAGTACCAATAATTAATAAATTAATAGACTTAAACCCAAAATTCACAATTACAGTGCAAAATCAAGTCCCAAAGTAATTTCCCAAAAAATTATGCAAAAATAAAATAATCTAAAAATATAAATACATCAATCAAATAAAATAAATTAAAGTCCCAAAACACAAAGGGGTTTATTTACTAAAGCTGGAGAGTCCAAAATCAGACTCCCTTCTGCATAGAAACCAATCAGCTTCCAGGTTTCATTGCCAAAGCTTCATTGAACAAGCTGAGGTTAGAAGCTGATTGGTTTCTAGGCAGAAGGGAGTCTGATTTTGGACTCTCCAGCTTTAGTAAATAAACCCCAAAGTGTCCAAATAATGAGTCCAAACTAAGATCAAATCTTGATAGGAAGACGCTTCCTACTCCACTGAAGAAGATGCAAATCAATCACAGGTGCTCTTCAAATCCCTTAAAAAAAAAACAAAACAAAATCTAGACATAGTATATTACCTTTTAAATAATATACCCCAAAGTGCCACACATGTATCATGCACAAAGAACACTCTAGTGTCGCAGCACTCATGTGAAAAGTATATTACTAAGTAAATGTCACTGCACACCTTATACCAAGTGCAAAAATCCGTGACAAGATGGCAACGGAGCAACATGCCATCAGAGAGCTCCATCGCCCCACTGCCTAATCCGCTGCCATCCGGGCGGCAACGGACACTACGAGGGCCCTGACACACCTGCGGCCCCTAGTGAAGCATCCGGGAGGGGTCCCGAGCAGTTTTGGCCCCCTCTGAAATCGCGGCCTACTACAACCGGCGAAGCCGTGGCCTCGATTAATTCGCGGGCCGACTTGCGACCGCCGCCGAATCGCGGCGCCGCCGCTCCGTCCCTCGGCTCTCGCCCTCTGACACACAGCGGGGTGGTCCTCCCCAGGCGGCCCCTGACCCTCTCCACCATCTCCAGGGCCACAGCAGCCTGACGCAAGGCGACAACAACCACCCCACCAAAGATCAGCCTAGCAAGGACCACCAAGCTGACAGCAGCCCAGGACCACCCCAGGATACCTGCACGGCAGCACCACCAGAACGGGTAAGCTGCCACCACCGATCCCCACCGACCTGCCAGCCTCCGCAGGGCCCTCCTCACTAGCCCTGCGTCCATCCCTGACTACCAGGAACCAGCTCAGGCCCACTGATCGCTGCTCCGCTGCCCAGCCCATACATTGCTCCTGGGCCCACCCCTGGACACCCTGCACCCAGCTACCGGGCACCCAGCTACCACCCCTGGACACCCAGCTACCGGGCACCCAGCTACCACCCAGCTACCGGGCACCCAGCTACCACCCCTGGACACCGACGCCCTCACCACCTGACACCCGGCCTTAACATCTCCAGTCACCGAGCCGCCAGCATCACCAGACGCCGTGCCTACCAACACCCCCAGACATCGCACCCTACGACCCCTCCACTCGCCGATCCACCGGACCCACTGAAGACCCCTCGGACGCCAGCATACTGCACCCACAGATTGCAGCCAGCCAGCTGCTGCCCTTTACTCCCACTCTCCCCCTACAGAAGGACTCTAGTGGACTCCTCCATGGTGATACAGACTCTCCACATCACCTTGCCCTGACCCGTATCCCTTCACCTCCCCTGACCCGAACAGCACTGCACTCACCCCAGCATGCCACCTGCACTTCTCCTCCTCGTTTTCCTCTCCTCCATCCCAAAAATCCCCTCCCTCTACCCGCCCACCCCCCCCCAAAACAGCTCTACATTGCCCCTTCACTTCTGCCCTCTCCCCACTACGGCACTCACCACCTCCTCCTGGTACTCCACTCCCCCCGTCGACCCACGTGCCACCACTACCAGACCCACACGCTCCTGCACCTCCCATTCCCATGCCACCCTCCTCACCCTTCTCCTTCTCCTATCCGCTGGGGACATCTCCCCGAACCCTGGCCCCTCACCACCTCACCCCCCCTCCAGGAACCCCCCCTCCAGGGACCCCCCTGCTCCCGCCAGCCGCCGCAACCCCCTCAACCTCATACCTGTGCACCTCCTCCCCGCATCCATCCCCCCTCTCTCGGTTGCACTTCTGAACGCCCGTTCGGTCTGCAACAAACTAACTGCCATCCATGACCTCTTTATCTCCCGCTCCCTCAACCTCCTAGCCATCACCAAACCTGGGTACAGGCCACTGACACTCCACCTCCCCTGCGGCACTCTCCCATGGAGGTCTCATCTGGTCCCATTCACCAAGACTGAGCGGTCACAAAGGTGGTGGTGTCGGCCTGCTCCTATCACCGCTGAGCACCTTCTAGGTCCTCCCTAACCCCCCCTCCCTAACCTTCTCCTCCTTCGAGGCTCACTGCATCTGGCTCTTCTCACCCACCCCCCTAAGGATCGCAGTGATCTACAGCCCCCCGGATCCATAGCCCGCTTCCTGGATGACTTCGCCGCCTGGCTTCCCTTCTTCCTCTCCTCTGAGCTACCGACCATCATCCTCGGGGACTTCAACATCCCCATCAACGACAACACCCCAGCTACCTCCCAACTCCTCCACCTAACCTCCTCCTTCGCGCTCACACAATACACTCAATCCTCCACCCACATCAATGGGAACACCCTGGACCTCGTCTTCTCCCACCTCTGTACCCTTAACCACTTCACTAACACCCCCTTCCCTCCCTCTCTCCGACCACCACCTCCTCACGTTCTCCACCTCCCCTTCCCCTAACTCCCCCCCCCCAGTGCGCCAAACCACCACCAGCCGCAACCTCCACAACCTGCACCCGGCCCCCCTCCACTCGGCTGCCGACCGCTTACACGACAGCATCCTTTTTTACTGTCATGTCCTGACCTAGCCACTACCGTGTACAACGACTCACTATCAGCTACCCTAGACTCTCTGGCACCCCTAACCACACTCAACATCAAACCCAGACCGCTCCAACCATGGCAGAACGACCATACTAAATGCCTCAAACGTCGCAGTCGTGCGCTGGAGAGACTATGGCGCAAAACCAGGTCCCCTCATGCATTCTCCCTCTACAAATCTGCCTTCCTCACCTACACCTCCTCCCTCCATGCCGCCAAGCAGGCCTACTTCGTTAACCTGATCAACACCCTCTCCACCTGCCCTCGCCGACTCTTCTCCACCTTCAACTCCCTGCTCTCTCTCCCCCCCCCCTCCCTCCACTCAGTACCTCACTTACCGCCCACGAGATTGCCACTCATCTCCACAACAAGATTGACGCAATCCGCAAGGACATAGTCAACTTGCAATCTACCTCCCCATCTAGCCTCCCCCCTTCCATCACCCCCTCATCTCTCCCCTCCTCTGACCTCGCAACGGCACTGCCCCCCCACCACACCCAAGGCCCTAGCTACCGTAACCCCCCCATCACTGCACTCCTGCAGCCCTACTACCACTGAAGAAGTCACCAGAGTCTTCTCAGAAGCCCGCCTCACTACCTGCCCCCTGGACCCTATCCCCTCTCAACTCCTCCGGTCACCCCCCTCTTCCCTCATCCGCTCCCTTACCCACATCTTCAATCTCTCCCTCTCTACTGGCGTCTTCCCCTCCCCCTAAAACATGCGCACATCACCCCCATACTCAAAAAGCCCTCCTTTGACCCCACTGACCTCAACAACCTCAGACCAATTTCCCTGCTGCCACTCACCTCCAAGCTCCTTGAGCGCTTGGTCTACAATCGCCTAAGCGCCCACCTAACTGACAACAACCTTCTTGATCCACTTCAGTCCGGCTTCCGTCCCCTACTCTCCACCGAAACTGCCCTCCTCAAAATCACCAACGACCTGCTAACCGCCAAAGCCAAAGGTGACTACTCTGTCCTCCTTCTCCTAGACCTCTCCGCGGCCTTTGACACAGTCGACCACCCCCTCCTCCTTAATAAACTACTCTCCCTTGGCATCAGAGACACCGCTCTCTCTTGGTTCTCGTCCTATCTATCCCAACGCTCCTTCAGCGTTTCCTACAACGGTGCCACCTCCCCTTCCCTCCCCCTCTCTGTTGGGGTCCCCCAGGGCTCTGTCCTTGGACCCCTTCTCTTCTCCATCTACACCTCCTCCCTTGGCAAACTCATACACTCCCACGGCTTCAATTACCACCACTACACTGATGATACTCAAATCTACCTATCCACCCCTCACCTCACCCCCACATTCTCTGCCCGCATCACTCACCTCCTAAACGACATCTCTGACTGGATGTCGCTCCATTTCCTCAAGCTCTCCAAAACCGAGCTTCTCGTCTTTCCCCTTCCCGCGCCCCCCCCCCCCCATCCTTTCCATCACTACCAACAACACCACCATCAATCCCGCCCAGCAAGCCAAGGTCCTTGGCGTCATTCTGGACTCAAACCTTTCCTTTCAACCTCATGTCAAATCACTTACAAACACATGCAGGCTCCACCTCCGGAACATCGCCAAGATACGCTCCTTCCTTACCCCAGACACCACTAAACTACTCGTACACTCCCTGATTATCTCACGCCTTGACTACTGCAACTCCCTCCTCACCGGCCTACCCCAGTGCAAACTCTCCCCGCTTCAGACCATCCTGAACTTAGCGGCCAGACTCATCCACCTCACCAGCCGCTCCACCTCTGCCACCCCCCTCTGCCCCTCCCTCCACTGGCTCCCCATTGCCCAACGCATTAAATTCAAACTGCTCACTCTGACCTATAAGGCCATTCACAACACTGCCCCTAACTACCTCACCGACCTGATTCCCAGTACCACCCTACCCGTACCCTTCGCTCTTCACAGGACCTCCTTATATCCTGCTCCCTGGTCTCCTCCTCCCTCGCACGACTGCAAGACTTCTCCAGGTCCTCCCCCATCCTCTGGAACTCACTACCCCAATCCATCAGACTGTCACCTTCCCTCCTCACCTTCAGGCGCTCCCTGAAAACCCACCTCTTCAGGGAAGCCTACCCCACCCTCACCTAACAGCCGCTGCCCTTCCCTCCTCCTACCACTCCATCCCCCACAGCCATTTCCTCCTGTACCTCTACCCCCTCCCTCCTAAATTGTAAGCTCGAAAGAGTAGGGCCCTCTTACCCCTTGTGCGCTGTTTGTTGTTACTGTACTGTTTCATGTATTGTCCCCCCCTCTATTGTACAGCGCTGAGCAAACCCTTTGGCGCTATATAAACTCGATAAAATAAATAAATAAATAAATAAATAAATAATAATTACCCTCAGTCAGAAAATTTCAGCTTGTAATCAACTACATGTATACAGAGTGTCCTTAGATTGGTATCCTCTTGTTCCTTAGGACCTCATAAACAGACCAGGAATCAGTACATGAATCTCAGTAATATATAAAATTTATTGTAGCCACTTACATATAAGATCAATAAAATCAGCAAATCAGCATCCAGCTCCTAACGATCCCCTTTCCATGTGTAGAAGGTGTAGAAGGTCTCCTGATAACCAGGACATTCCCCCTTACCACTCCTGTCCAACACTCACACTCTCTGCTCAGGGGGACACCTGAAGTGTACCGTTCCTCTCCAGACCTCCGACACACAGGGGCTCCAGAATCCAAAATGGCCGCTGCGGCACTTCCGGGAACGTCAATACGTCACGTGCCCTGTACGCGTTTCGTCACTTCCGGACTTTGTCAACAAGGATGACATCTAGTCATCAACTGTACAGAAAAGGGTATAATAAATAAACATTATTGCTGCTCACCGTGTAAGTACAGGATGCAAAGAATGGTTTGGCCCAAACCAACGCAAACTCCCGATTCCTCTCAGTCCAGTTCGTCCCTTTGGGTTTCTGCATAATGTGACAAGATTTCCTTTTTAAGCACAGACTGTACTTGGTCCTGTTGTTATCATTCTAGTGATGAGGGCAGAGGAAAATCCTTATCCAGTTACTACTCCAGAGAGAACTCTACATATGAATTCCAGCATTAAGAAAGTTTGTGGGCTTCTTTTGAGCAACAAAGACTTTTTAATTCATATCATTGGGCCATATAAGCCATCATTTATACTCTGAGGAAGCTAGAGGAAAACTCATATCAGGACTATTCTTCAGGAAGATAATGCATCTAAACCATCATGGCGGCTACCTCTGCTCCCTCGACTCTGGTCTACTGCAAATGAAGGAATTATCTGCCACTAATTCTCTCTGTTATAAGGACAGAAAGAATTTCAAAAACCCTCTGAAGAGACTCAGCCATCAGTGGAACCGTGTGACATGCTGAGGAAGGCTATCTATAAATAGAGAAAAATCAATATTGAAATATCAGTTCTGATCACAAGCATATCTACAAATCATAGGGCCCCATAACAGAATGTTAACGTAAGACACAAACATTTCAAAGTGGCCCATTATACTGGTGTCAGAATAAAGATCCCCATTACAATGGTAGTAGGTGGCAAAACCCACGTTACTTTGATGGTAAATGGTGAAGGTTCATTTAGGTTTGTGGTTAATGGCATAGTCCCTTGTCAGCAGCAAAGCCTCCTTTACATGCTCAGTGGTGAAGCCCCCTTTTTGTTGATGCCTTCCACATGGACCATCATTGTAAAGGGGAAGTCCCTTTAAGTTAGTTGTCACTTTGGTAGCCCTTGTTATATTGGTGGTCATTGGTGAAGGCTCTACTGTTGGTGGGTTTGTGGCAAAGCCCTGATAACATTGGCGAACAGTGGCAAAACCCTTTTCATATTGGTAGTCCATGGCAAAGCCGATAATATTGCTGATCAGCATTGAAGTCCTCTCTTTTTCTTGTTCAAATAATTTTATTATTTTAACACGGAACAGTACAAAATAATAAGCAAAAATATGGGTCATTGAAGGTGTACATTGATTGCACAGTAAGAAACCCAATAATACAAGGTTAGGCATCACTAATAAAGAGGACTCTCAAATGGCAGTTGAGGCCTAACAAAATGGGGAGGGGGGGGAATGAGGAGGGAGGATGGGGAGGGGCATACGGCTGCACGGTAGGGGGAGAAGGGAGAAAACCGCAGTATGGTTAAGGAATGATACCATCAAAACAAAAGACATAGATTACGGATTGAGAAGGGAGTCATCAAAATTGGATGGAAGGAAATGCTCTACCCCCAGGGATTCCAAATCTTCTTGAACTTAGGGATGGAATCTAGGATAGTGGCTTCTATTCTTGCGTGAATCATTGCCTGGGTGACCCTATTCGAAACTGCAGTCATGCTCAACGAGGGAGATTTCCCATGATTTAGCGATAACCTGCTTGGCTGCGGTGGTGACTTGTAGAATGAGCTTGAAATTCGCCTTAGCGATGCCAGGTGGTTGCAGGTTAAGAAGCGCGACTAATGGATCGGGACAGAGGGTTATGGCACTGAGTGTAGATAATATTTTAAAAAAAACCTCCACCCAAAATGCGCGGACGATGGAGCAATCCCACCAAATATGAAAAAATGTACCCAGCCCCTGAAACAAACCAAGGGGTAATCAGGGGTATATTTTGCAATTCTAGCTGGGGCTAGGTACCAGCGGGTCAAGACTTTGTAATTGGTCTCCAGGGCCACAATATTCTGCGATGACTCTTTGGTATTGGACCAAATAAGGTCCCAATCTGAGGGGTCGATTTGCCGTCCTAAATCCACTACCCATTTATTTGTATACGAGGGTAACGATGAGGTAGTTGAGGTTGTGAAGAGGGAATATAAATAGGAAATGAGACCCCGTCTATGGGGGTCCCTGAGGCATGGTTGCCGTGGTGTACGGAGCAAAGAAATGCTTCAGCTGCAGATACCTGAATATCTCAGAGGCAGGGAGGTTATGGGACTCACATAGTGAGGCGAAGGATTTAAATTTATTCCTGCATACGAAGTGTCTGGTCTGGGTGAGACCAGCCATAAACCAGCGAGTAAAGACGTGCAGCTCGGACCAAGCTGGAGGGAAGGCTGGATTTCGAAGGTATAAAAGAAGGGGATTATGGGGTGATTGTAAGAGATAACGGGACTTCAGTTTATCCCAAAGGGACAAAAAATGCGAGGTAATGGGATTCGCAATCGTGCGGCGATCAACGCGTCTCAGCCAAAGAAGGTTTGCTGTGCTAAAGGGGTCGCACCCAATGGATTCCAGAATGACCCACTGCGAGATTTCGTTGGTAGCATGATACTTTGGCAATTGTGCTATATGCGCTGCTTGGTAATACTTGCTAATTTCAGGGAGGCCCAGACCGCCATAGAGTTTGGATCGGTATAGAGTAGAGCAAGGAACACGGGGGCGGACTTTGCCCCAAACATAGGAGGAAATACGGCGCTGTAGTACGCAAAGGTAGTGAGAAGGTACTGGGATAGGGAGAACTATGAAGAGGTAAAGGATTTTGGGGAGGATCGACATCTTCACAACAGCTATCCTGCCCAGCCAAGCCAACGGAAGGGAGGACCATTTGGTCATTAGTGCCGTTAGATGAGTTAGCATAGGAATGTAGTTAGCGGTATAGAGACCTGAGATATGTGGGGTGAATTTTATACCCAAAAAGGGAACAGAGCCTTGCGACCACGAGAACGGCAGGATCAATTTTAGATGGTTAAGGTCATTGGGTGGGAGCGAGATATTGAGTGCAAGTGACTTCTGGGGATTAATTTGGAGGCCAGAGAGCGTCCCAAACCTATCAAGTAGACGAAGAAGGGTAGGTGTGGATGTTAAGGGAGAGGTGAGAAAAAGTAAGACATCATCTGCGAATAAGCACAGTTTATGTGAGGTGCCTCCTATCTCAAGTCCGCGGATATCCGGGTCAGTCCTAATCAATAGGGCCAGCGGTTCTATTGCTAATGCGAAAAGCAGAGGGATAGGGGACAACCTTGTCTGGTGCCACGGATAATTGGGAAATGAGCAGATCTATGCCATAAGTATTTGATCCTGGCCGAAGGGCCCTGGTAGAGAGAAAAGATCCAGGTTAAGAAATGTGGGCCAAAACCCCATCGGCGCAATATGTAGTGTAGGTATGGCCACGAGACAGTGTCGAACGCTTTCCATATGTCTAAGGACAAGAAGCAAGCAGGAATATTGAGAGTTTTGGCTAAGTGTGCTAAAAGGGATGCACGTCTGACGTTGTCCCCCCACTTGTCGGGTTGGTATGAAGCCGACCTGATCATTGTGGATTAGGAATCCAATGCATGTATTGAGGCGAGTAGATAGGATTTTAGCTAGGAGTTTAACATCTACGTTAAGGAGGGAGATTGGTCTATAATTGGACCATTGCGTGTCATCTGAGTTCGGCTTAGGGAACATAGAGATGTTGGCTTGCACTGTATCTGAGTTAAAGGTATGGCCTGAAAGTATGGCGTTAAACGCAATAGTCATGATAGGCGTGAGAATGGGGGCAAACTTTTTATAATATGTGGCAGAAAAGCCGTTGGGTCCTGGGCGTTTACGGGGCTTTAGGGAATTGATAGCATTTAAGGTTTCAACTACTGAGATAGGTCGCTCCAGTGCTCCTAAGTGATTCTCAGCCAATTTCGGGAAAGGAAGGGAAGCAAAAAGGGCTTCAGCCTGGGAAGAGTCAAAGGGCGTGGAGGCAGAGTAAAGGCACGAGAGATGCTTGTGGAAGGTGCGCAGAATCCATTCGGGGTTGCTGGTGAGATTTGCAGTTGAGGTCCATAACCGTATGGGTCTAACAGCTTGGTCTAGTTTACGGAGAGAAAGAGCAAGGAAAGTGCCAGGTTTGTTGGCTTTAGTGTAGAATTTGTGTCGAGATCTGAGGATGGAGAGCTCAGCTCGGTCCGTGAGGAAGAGGTCCAGGGCTATGCGGGAGTGCTCGAGAGCTTTTTTGTTAGCAGGGGTGGGGGGAAGTTTGGAAGGCGGCATGGGATTGGTCATAAGCTTGTTCAAGGAGGAGGCGTTTCTGCCTCCTCTCTCTACTCAGGAAGGAGGCTTTGCTGATACAGAGTCCGCAAAGTACTGGTTTGTGTGCTTCCCATATAGTAGAGGGGGGAGATTTCAGGGGTTTGGTTTAAGGAGAGATAGTCCTTAAGCACAACTGCTATTTCTGAGCAATAAACTGGGTCAGCCAGCAGGCTTTCGTTAATGATCCAGGAGGGATTAGGGGAGCTGGGGCCAAAGAAGCAATGGTAGTGATCACTGCACAGTGATCCGACCAAGGGATTGGTAGGATGTCAGAAGCTAAGATGCGGGGGGAAGAACTGGCGGTCATAAAAATATGATCTATTCTCGAAAAAACCTTATGTGGGTGTGAGTAAAAAGTATACTGGCATTTAGAGGGATTGAGTTCCCTCCAGGAATCGACCAATGAATAATGGCACAGTATGGATTGGAAGGAGTGGTTGGGGGTATGCGGAGAAGGGGATTGCGGGGATTTGTCTAGAAAGGGGTATATTATATGGTTAGAGTCTCCACAGACTATGAGCGTGCCTCGTTTATGATGATCTATAACCGAGAAGAGGTGGGAAAGGAACGGCAGAGGACCCTGGTTTGGAGCGTAATAAGTGGCTATGGTGACCTCAAAGTCCAGCAATTGCCCAACAAGTATGATATAACGACCCTCTGGATCCTTAATCTCAGCATGTAACTTAAAAGGAGTTGTACGGTGGAGGGCGACTAAAACCCCTCTACACTTAGTGGCAGCAGAGGCCGCGTAGACCTGTGGGTAACGAGGGCCAAAGAATTTGGGAATAGAGGTAGGAGTGAAGTGTGTTTCCTGAAGACAGTCTATATGCGCATTATGTGACGCAAATGAGCGGAATGCTTTGTTGCGCTTCTGCGGGATGTTAAGACCCTGAACATTCAGGGTGAGGATATTCAAGGAACCCATGGGTAGAGCA